AGGGACAAGATAGCCTCACAAAGATACTTTTTCTGCCTAAAAGAATGATTACAAAGAAGAGACCAGATTAGGAAAATAAAATGTAGCCAATCATGCCCCCACCCCCAGGCCATGAGAAAAGGGGGATGAGGGAGAAACCCTAGCCAGACTTGCCCACTTACCTCCATCCGGGATAGTAAGGTCTGTATATCCCTGATCATGTGCTGAGCCATCACCAGTCGTACCCGGGGCTCACTCTATAATAAGAGAGGAATGATCAGGGCAAGTTTGAGATGAAGTCATGAACTCCACCACCTACTAAAACAGGTCCCAGGTATCTCCTCAGTCAGGTTCTCCTGACAGCCTCCTTCTCCCAGATCCCCTTCCCTGACCCTCCCAGGCCCCTCAATACCTGAATCGGGGCCTGTTCCATGTTGATGTGAACATCCACAGCAGAGCCGTCACTCTGGGGAAAGGGTAAGGGAAGTTGCTCTGGGAGAAGCCAAATACTAAGGCCTCCACACTTCCAACTCATTCTCTGGAGTCTCACCCCTTTTCCTCAAAAGACTAAGGCCAGTATAGGACCAGAGGGCCCCCAAATCCAACGTAAACACTGAGACAAGACACCTATCTCATGAGGTCCCTGTTGCTACCACAGCCAAAACTACTTTTTCCCCCAAGACCCTTCCATGTGAAACCCAGGCTTACAGGAAGATTGAAGGTTCCAACCATGACATAGCTGTTGGCGTTCCGGTCATGAACAGAAGTCCCAGGCCCCCGAGTACCAGGCAGGGGTCCCCCACCATGGGTGGCTGAGGCAGGCCCTGTTCCAGAAGATGCTCCAGAAGGGAGCTGAGTCTGAGGAGGAGCCCGTTCCACCAGATGGATAACCTTTCCCCCAACATCTGCAGAAAAAGGCACACGTCAGAGTACTGTATGAGCAGAAAGTCTATGGCCTCAGCTCATTGCTCTGGACAGCAGCCTCAACTCTGAAATGCCTCCCCAACCCTTACTGTATTCCTGGAGCTTCTTGTCGTCTTGCAGAACTCGCCCCTGATAGATGAGCCGCTGTTTCTCAGAAGGGATGCTGACAGAGGAAGCGATATGCTCCTTAAACTCCTTTACATTCATCTACGAGGAGGAAGAGTTACACACAGGAATCGATCACAGAATGGAGGGACAACTAACTTGTGGAGGTAAGGCACAGAACCATTATAGAATCACTACCACTGTCCTGACGGTAAGATATTATTGTGCAAAGCTGTGAACTGAATTAAGTCCTGCCAAAACACCGACAATAAATTTAATGAAACTCAAGGGAAAAGCCTAGGAAAAAAAATAACATGGATGAGAAACAAAAAAGCCAACTAACATTGCTTCTCTCCTCATTTGCATGGATCCCAAAGGCATGTGTGTCTAGAGATACCAATGACCCCCAATCCAAACACAAAATGATACCTGTTTATCCCGTATAATCGCAAAGATAAAAACAATGACAAGGAGGATGCAGCAGGGAACCAGATTAAGGAAAGAAGACCAACCAAGGGCTGGCAGAGTGGCTCAAAGTGGTAGACCACCTGGCTAGCAAGCATGAGCCCTGAGTTCAAACCCCAGTGCCAAAAAAAAGATTAACCAAGAAGGGAGCAAAGGGCTAGAGATAGAGAGTATAATACTTGTCTAACTTGGATGAAAGGGGGGAGGGGGGAGCAGGGAGCAAAAGAGAAAAACATCTTTCCTAACTAAATTAATTACTCTTGGAAAGTATCAGAGTATTTACATATATCTCATCATAAAAGTCTGTATGACTTTACACGTTTTGATTTTGCCTCTAAGGATTATAGGAGTAAAACCACAGACAACTGTGACCATTTGTGTTAAGTTCAAGAGATTCAAATTATGCCATAGATATTGGTAATTCTATTCAAGAGTCTATGCAGGCTCTACCTGAATTATGGCTTCTAGTTTGTAGTCTTTGTAAACACAGTATAGACCTGTGATCAACTTGTTTATAAGAAACACTTGTTTGAGTTCTCAGTTTTATGTTTTCCCTCCCAAAGGTGGAGCCATGTCCCTTTGGCAGGATTCCCCCCACAATGATGGCACACAGATTTGTCCTTCCTTTCTATTTCTCTCTACATTGAGTTCTATTAAGGTGAAAACAGAACAAAATCTGTCTCACTGAACATTAGCCCTAAACACATCAGATGTTCTATCTAGAATATGAGAAATAAATCAGTGAAAGGAAAAACTGAAGACAAGAGAATCAGGCTCTTCCCTCAGTGTAAGGGAGGAACAGGAAAAGCTAATGGGCTTCTTTCGGAAGTACTGGGGTCTCACCTGGGCCCCCACAATAAAGGTCCGGGTCTGAGAGTCCAGGGTCTTCACCAGCACTTCCAGGCTGTCAGGCTCCTCCATAACGGTACTGGTACTATCACTGGGCTCCATTGCCGACAGCTCTCTAAGGAAGACGGAGGGAGGGAGGTCCGCTATCGCCCGTAGCAGATTTTATATGCCCGGAAGCCTCTCTGAATCTCCGCCCCAACACCTAAAAAGTTCCTCCTGCACGAGCACACACACATCCGCCCGCATCCCGCTCCAGATTCCGGGGCACCGGGAGAGTAACACAAAGGGCAGGAGATCCACGGCATAGGGAGCTGAAGGACGGGAGGTGGGAGGGGCTCTACAATGCCAATCACAATAAGGGAGGGCCAGTTGGGCTAGGAATCAGGAAAGGAAGCACGAGACCACGGACCAGTGTCATCACCGGTCGCGATAGGTCAAGGGCCCGAGAGGTCGGCAAATCCTGGGACAACGCGAGAGCCGGGGTCGCGCTAGACTCGGCGAAGAAAGTAGCTTCGCGCACGCGCGCCACGCCCATCAAACCCGCCTAAATCACTACAGACCCAAGACCGCAGACACTCACGGGGGGCTGGACCGGGTAGCTAACTGCCCCCCCACTTCCGCCTTCCGTCGATGTTCCAGCAGAACAGCTTAACCAACACGCGGCCACACACACACAAACACACCCCACCGCCTTGCGGCTCCGCCCCCGACTTCCCCACGGCACCGTCACTTCCGGTCTCTAACCTGCCACCGAAGGCCACTTCCGTTTCCCCGTTGGTATTTGGGGTTCTCGAGGCAGTACTTCCGGCTTCCCCCAGGTCCTTAAGATTTACTTTTGTGGGGCACGATGAGAAAGTTCGTGGCCCCAAACAAGGAGTTCCTGGGGGCAAGACGGACCGGGGTCGGCCTAGATGGGAGGGAGCCGAGCACCCGGAGGAGCCGCCGCCGCTGCCGTCGCCCGGGGGACCGTACTGCGCCTGCGTGTATCTTAGTACGCATGCGTACACTTTAAGCACCGCCTCACCAGCACCCCCACCGCCCCCGTGTGCACTTCGCGTGTGCGCGCACTTGAGCGACAAGAGGGTGAGACGGCCACGTAAATGCCTGAAAAAAATTACCATTTGGGATTCTGCCTAGAGAGATGCTGTACATCGTCATATGGACCTTGCAATTTGGAGACTGGGAATTATGATGCCTCATTAACCTATGTTAAACTTTTGGCAGGCGGAGAATTTCGGGCGGCACAGTCCTAGCCACCTAAAACAATTTATTCTCTTACTCGGGCCCTCTCTGCGCTCTTCGTTCCGCGCGTCCGGAAGTCACCTTTTCCCGTAGGCGGTTGGGGGTGGCTCGCGGGCTGTTTTGCTTATTGTGCAGTCGTTGAACCTGAACTCCGTTCAGCCCCAGAGGAGGGGGGAGTTTTACAGTCTGTGGGCGTCACGTTGGTCGTTGGCGAAGCGCAGCCCAGGAGACATGCCGTATATTAGAAAAACTAAACATGCCACTGCCTTCCAGGACTTTGTCAGGAAAAGGGATGTGTGGGAATTGGGAGCAAATGAAGTTGGACTGGATTGAAACACAAGTCCCTGACATTGAGGAGTTGAAGGGCCTGCCAAGGTGATTCTGCAGGCCACGGGTATTACAGCTCCTCTGCCCTCTTCCCCTCCTTTCCCAGCGTTGTTTTTTTTTTTTTTTTTTTTTAAGGTACTGGCATTTTTGACTCCGCCTCCTGCTTCCTAGGCGGGCACTGTGCTACTTAGGCCATACCCAACAGCCCCCGCAGCCTTTCTACAATTCATCGTTTATATCCAGGTGCCAGTATTATTTCAAAGAATTCCAGTAAGCACCTGATAGGTGAGCATTTAGTTTGTGTCAACTAGTATACTAAGAGTTTTACATGTTGTCATATTTTAAAAAGCCTTTCAACATCTGAGATGGGAATTAACATTCACTTTGTGCGTGAGTTACCCCTAGGTGAACCTAAATCACAGAACTGAGAAATCCAGGCCTACTAGACTCCAGATTGAGCTCTTCTACTTTACTGCTCCAATAAGAAGTTGCTGTGGTGCGTTTTTGGGTTTTTTGTTTTGTTTTTTTGTGGTGCTGGGGTTTGAAATCGGCTTGCACCTTTAGCCACTCCACCAGCCTTTTTTTATGATGGGTTTTTTGAGATAGGGTCTCACGAGCTGTCTCACTGGGGTTGACTTCTAATAGCGAGTCTCCTGATCTCCGCCTCCTGAGTAGCTAGGATTACAGGTGCGAGCCACTGGCGCCTGGCAGTTGTAGTTGTTAAAAGAATTTTCAAGGACTGGGACTGGCAGAGGTGGCTCAAGGGCTAGAACGCCTGCCTAGCAAGTGTGAAGTCCTCCGTTCAAACCCCAGTACCACCAAAAAAAAAAGACTGAATATATAGCTCAGTGGCAGAGTGCATGTTTAGCATGCACAATCACCCGCGCCGCAAAAAAAAAAAAAAAAGCCGAACATTACCTCAAAATAGAATAGTATAATTAACTCTCATATTCCTAGCATACAGACTTTTTTGGTTCTGTTGGGGTTATTTTGGGGGGAAGGTGGTGTTTGTTTTTGTTTTTTGAAACAGGGTCTCACTATACAGCCTAGGCTTACCTGGAACTCACTGTGTAGCCTAGGCTGACCTCAAACTCAAGATCCTCCTGCCTCCCAAGTGCTGGGACTACAGATATGAGCCATCATGCCTGGGCTTTGTTTTAACTCACATGCCTCTAGCAAGTCTCACATCTTAAGACAAATCATTTTGTAGCAGCCCATGAGTTATAAATAAGTTCTACTTCTCACTGCATTAACTGCTTCACCCACTTGGCACTGTCCAATGTCTGCCTCTTAACAAGTCTTACCACCATCATTTAAAAATTTATTACTCACCAGGAACTATAATAAGTGCTTTGCAAACTACTATTAATTATAATGAATATTTACTTTAGATTTACCATATGCAGGTCTTTGCTAAAGGCTTTACATGCATTATCTCATTTATACTCAGATTGATGATGTGCCCATTTTAAAAATGAAACAAGACACAGATTAATACAGTTGTCCTAGGGACTGAGGATGTGAATCAGTTGCAAAGTGTTTCCCTTGCATGCACAAGGCCCTGGGTTTGATTCCCATCACCGCAAAAGAAAAAATACCAGGTCTATTAAGTAGCAGAGCTTGAACTCACTCTGCCTGATACCAATATTAATCCTCTTTAATCACTAGATTTTTTGGGGGGGGCGGTACTGGTGTTTGAACTCAGGGCCTCACACTTCCTAGGCAGGCTCTTACCACTTGTGCAACTACATCAGCCGTTTTTGTGATGGTATTTTTGAGATAGGGTCTCATGAACTATTTGCCCAGGGCTGGCTTCAAACTGCTATCCTCCTGATTTCTGTCTCCCAAGTAGCTAGGATTGCAGGTGTGAGCCACTGGCACCTGGCTAATCACTAGATTGTATAGACTCTTTCTTGTAGTAATAAACATTGAGTGGATGAACTCACTTATGTGTCAGTTTTTTCCAGGGTGTGCATCTACTGGTCCCTCAATCATAAACTTCAGAGAGAAATCCACAGTGCTCCAGCAACTGGCTCATACCTGTTCTAAAGCACTTATCTGTTTGTATTGCATGATTTGTTTACACAGTCAATTTTCCCTATATTGACTTCTTCAAGGCCAGAGACTGTCTTGCTCATTTTTATGTTCCCAAGGATTAGCCAGTTCCTGGCAAACAGGTGGGAATTGAAACAGTTTGCTAACTGAATGAATGAAAGACCTAATCAAATCACCTCTCTTCAATGCTGCACAACACAGCAGAGCTCCAGCTCAGATATGGGTTGAAAGACCAAAGCCATGTACCTGTAGGGCTCAGCTCTCATAACTCTAGAGACCCTGGTCATACCAGGGTATATTGTTTAGTGGTTGCATTCAGAAGGGGGAGGAAGGCCCCAACCAGGTAAGTAATCCAGGCTTGGGTTGGAAAACACGGTTGAAGTTACTTATTAGCAGGTAAAAGGGTCAAGGGTCGAAGCACGAGGGCTGGAAGCATAGTCAACTGTGCAGCAGTGGAGAACACAGCAGTTAAGGCACCAGTTGCCCCACACAGAGCACCAGCTCCCTCCTGCCTGAAGATGTTCCACCAAATTTGGGCAGCTCTGCTCTACTTTTATGGCATTCTCCTTAACTCCATCTATCAGTGCCCTGAACATAGTCAACTGACAACTCTGGGAGTGGATGACAAAGAGGTAAGGACTGAGGAATGGGGGAAGCTTACAGTGGAAGCTGAAGGTCTTAAGTGGGTAGCCAGGATGATCAAAAACAATTTGGGGAAAGGAAAGGGGAAGAGGGTGAGTATTTTGATGAGAAAGCAATAAAAAAAAAAATCAGTGCTATGACAATGTGGAGACATAGCAGGATTTTGGGGGTAGAGTTACCCATAATGATTGGGAAAGGGCAAACAAAGTCACTTAACACATTGTCATGAATTCAGCTCTCAGTTGGTAAAAAGGCAGCCAACACCTATACCCCAAGTCTTGCTCTGCTGGACTGATGAAAGGTTGGATGGATCCTGTGGTAGACCCACTGATCCACACTCTTGTTCCTCTCATTGTTTCTCCAGTTCCCAGAGCCCCACCTAGGTCAGTGGTACTTTATCGCAGGAGCAGCTCCCACCAAAGAGGAGTTGATGACTTTTGACTCTGTGGACAACATTGTCTTCAATATGACTGCTGGCTCTGCCCCAGTGCAGCTCCAGCTTCGTGCTACCATCCGCATGTGAGTAGTGAAGCAGAGACACTCTCTGCCCAAAGTATGAGCACCCACTCATCAGGAGCTGGGCTCTTGCCCAGTATATCCTCTGTTCCTGGCCCACTGAATTCAACAGCTCTACCAGTTGCCCTCTGGAAAAAGAATGGGTCTCACCCTTACCTTAGTAGCATGAAACCCAACAGGAGTCCAGCTTTGGGAAGGAGTGAGAGGCTAGTGCTGTATGGCTGGGGTAACACTCAGTCTTTCATCTTTGCCTCTACCACCTCTGCAGGAAAGATGGGCGCTGTATCCCCCGGCAATGGATCTACTACTTGACTGAAGGGAGTACGGATCTCAGAACTGAAGGTTGGTTCCCACCAGCCCTCAACCTTCCTAGTCCCTGAGTTTGGTTTTGTGTCACTATCCTCACACTTTCCCCTAATCATCCTGACAGGCCGCCCTGACATGAAGACTGAGCTCTTTTCCAACTCATGCTCAGGTGGAATCATGCTGAAAGAGACAGGCCAGGGTTACCAGCGCTTTCTCCTTTACAGTGAGTGAGGATACAAAAAAAGGAAGTGTAAGAGGGAAACAGGAGGGCAGGAGGACCCCTTAAGTGGGTCTCTATAACATCCTCCCAGAATGGGATACGTGCTTCTATGAAGTTCTCCCTATTGGGGGCAGGGGCAGTGCTGAGAAACAGTGGCTTTGACTGGCCTGGCTGCACCTTGCCCTTCCAGATCGCTCGCCACATCCTCCTGAGAAGTGTGTGGAGGAATTCCAGTCCCTGACCTTCTGTTTGGATTTCAAAGCCTTCTTACTAACTCCCAGGAATCAAGGTGAGGGGTTAAAGTCTTCCATAAGAGGCCTGGGACTCACCATGTCTTCTGCAGGTACTAGATGAAAGAAGCTCATGCAGTGTAACCAGAGGGCATAGCCAAAGGCAGACATCATCAGAGTGGCTATGTTGACATTTCCACTTTTCATAGGCTAGGATGACACCAAAGGGATGTGGCTAAGAGCTGTGGTGTCACCTGAGGGAAACTGGAAGGAGCCTGGGCTACTCAAAAGATAGGTTTGCAAGTGTGCAGTAGATAAAGGGGGCAGAGGGTAAGCAATGGAGGGGAAAAGGCATCCAAGACCCCTTCTTTGACACCGGGAAATGAGGAACACATTCTCTTCCATCCTATTCCACCAACCCTGTTTCTCTTCCTTTCCATCCTCTATTTTTCCCCTCCTACCATCACAGAGAACTGCGAGCTATCCAGTAACTGACCTGTAACTTCACCTGTGCCCCCAGACCAATATGATAGGACCTGAGTTGCTGGAGGGAGGAGAAGCTGGAGTTTTTCAACTCCTTTCAAGGATAATAAAGATGATTTTTCAGTCTTCGTCTTGTTACAGGTTTTTTTCTCCAGGTATCGATGTCACTCTCCCCATTTCAACACTCCCCTTGAACCTTCTACTACCTAACACCCCAGATGGACAGCATCAGGAAAGACATGAGTAGCAGTAACCTCTCACATTGTAGTGGTATATTTAGGATTTAGTGTGACACATTTATTGCTGAGTGAGCAAACCCTAGCTTCTGAGTGGGGACAGTAAGCCCCAGTGCCCCCCCGGCCACCTGTCTGAACTGCCAGTCTTTCTAAGCTGGCCCTCCAGCCTATACTACCTGCATGATCTCCACTCCCACTGGTTTCCCTAAGTACCAGATCCTTGCTGCAGGCCCTCTCTCACATATGAATCCTTAATCTGCTCATCTAGCAGCCCCACTCTTCCTTAGATGGCTCAGGTTCCAAGATCCAAGGGACACCTTTGGTCTCCCAGTTACCCACTTAATGCAGAGATATCTGCCCTGCCTCTGGTCTCTTCCACCCTTGGAGTTTGGAAAGGTAGAAAAGACCCTTTAGTCTTTTTTCTCCACCATTACACTTCTTTTTTTTTTTTTAATTTTCCTTTTAAAAAGTGTAGGTAAAAAAAAAAAACTGAAGATGGAAATAAAAAATCATAGGTGAGAGAAATGTAAAAACAATAGCTGGTGAATCCAAGCTGGGACAGTTATGCCTCACTGTCCATAGACACCCTAAAAAGCTCTGAGTATGGACGGGGGCCCTACCCTCAAACTCTGGGGTTTCTTCCTATCCCTGAGGTCCCTGTGCTTACAATCTGGGTCTCCTCACTGTCCTCAAGGCCACACTATCCTCAAGGCCATGCTATCTTCACCCTTTGCCCCCACTCCATCCTATGGTCACAGCCCCTTTCCTGGGCCTCCCCTCTGCTCCTCAGCCTCCTTCCCCAAATCCTTGCCTCCCTCAGTGGCCTCCTCATCCCCACTGGGCTCCCTAAGGCTGACAGCCAGTACCAGGGCCTGCAGGAGGCCAAAGAGGCAGGCAAAGTGCAGGGGGTGGGCGGTAAGTAAGCTCAGCACAGCATGGAGCCCATGTAGAGCAGCCAGGAAGGACAGCAGCCCATGTAGCCAGAGGCCCAGTGGTCCTCGAAGGCCCAATGCATCCAAGGCTGCTCGAAGCGGCCGAGAACACAGTGCCAACAGGGCTGAGGCCAGCAGCTCCAGCAGGTGCAGGGTCAGGTTGGTGGAGATCTGCAGACACTCCTCTGGGCCTCCCAGGTACAGTGGGGCAGCCCCAGGATCCCCCCGCAACCAGCCCAGCAGCTTCTGCCGCCGGCCAGGTTTTTCCACTGGCACTTCTTGCTCAGAGGCGTCCAGTGCCCCTTCAGAGGACACCACCGGTCTCCTGGTGCTACCTGAATCCACAGGATCCCATCCCAGTTTTGGAATGGCGGCTCCCCCACTCTCCAGTCTACCAGACTCTTGGCTGCTAGAGACAGTCTTGTTCCACTTGAGGGAATCCAGTCTTTTGTTCCTCAGTTGCTCAACTGGGGACTCACTGCTTGGTTCTGGAGCAGCCCTGGAGCTCCTCAGTGTCCCTGAGTCCTTTGTCTTGGGAGGCCCCATATCATCCATGGTTTCTGGGGCACTGTCCCAGTCACTCCCTGAATTCTCAGGGGAGTTGTCCACCCATCTGGGATCTGGAGCAGGCGGGTCAGGCTTCGCTGGTTTCCGGCGGCCCCAAAGGCGAGGTAACCAGCCACCTAGCCTTTGCAGGAACATAGCTGTGGCGTATGAGCCCCAAATCTGGGGCTACTTCCTGGCACTGCTTAGGCTCTCAGGCTCACCTCAGAAGCCAGAATCTGGGTTCAGTACAGGTATCTGCTTAGTGATGTCCTCCTACTCTGAGTTCAAACGGAGCTCCCCACTTCGCTGAAGGCTCATGCAGCCTCAAGTGGCCTGTCTCCTTTTCAGTTTGGGGGTAAAGAAGAGAGGCACAGCCAAACCATATTCATCCCCCACCCCCTCACTCCCCACATAAGATTTTCAAGCGTCTCAGGGTCTGATGAGGCCTGAGTCACCACCAGTGTCCTGTTTCCGGATTTCCTTCCCAGCAGGCAGTACCCCAAGTTTCACTCACCAAGGCCACACCCCAAGGTGCCCCAGAAACGGGGGAGGCGGTGCTCCATCAAAGAAGGAAGGTGGCCTGGGGTCCTTCAGTCCTCCGAGTCTGAGGAGCCTTAAACGGCTGCCCCAAGAGAATTCAAGGAATGGGAAGTCTGCGTTGGGAGATGGGATGGAGTGTCCAGCAAACTCCAGCTAGTAGCGTCCGACCCTTGACTTAGGAGGCTCTAATTCCTACAAAGTGGCCAGTCAGTCCCGCGAGGGCGCAGCCCGCGCGGCCTCTGCCAGTTCAGGACCGAGATGTCCTCAGAGATCCCAGTCTCGAGGGTCTCGAGGGTAGTGAGAGTCTACCTAGGGACCCTGGCGTCCCGGCAGTGTGCGCAGTGGCCGCTCCTGGGCCCAGTTTAGGGGCCGCAGCCTCGCGGAGCCCGGAAGCAGCTGCACTGGGACGGGAGGGACCGACAGGGGCGGAGCCCACAGCTCGCGGGGCGGACCCTACGGATCCACCTCCCCCGTACTCCCGCGCTCTCCCCGCGCACTGCACAGCAGGCGGCAGAGCCAGATCAGCGAGGACCAGCATCTAAACGTAATCCCACATCTTTGTTTTCAACGCCCAGAGGACTTTCCAGGCCCCCTGTCCTTGGGTTCTTCCGCACATCCTCTATCACCCCTCCGTTTCTCGCCCACGACTTCTTAAAAGGCTGATCCAGAGAGAAACCATAAGGGGAGCCTTGCGACCTGAGCAGCCCTTCTTTCCAAGTAGGAATGTGTGAATTCTTCACAGGCCTAGCACCTTGTCTGAGCAGTGTAAGGGAGTGGGGGTGCCAGGCAGCAAAGTTGTGGGGAAATAAAAATGTACACACATAGGATATGCCTCCCGCCCCCAGAAGCTTTCAGCTAGTGAAATGGAAGAACTTTGGAGTGGTGTTGCTCAGAGGTAGAGTGGTTGTTTGCCCAGCATATCAAAGTGCCACCCCTTGCACCACCAAAAACAACAAAAAAAACTGTCTTAAAAATTTATATTTGGGAAGCCATAGTTCTGGTCCCAGCTCAGACAAAATAGAGGGTGGATAACTTTAGGCCTCCTATCTACTTCTCTGGCTGCTTATAGCCTCTGTCTGGGGGAGTGGTGGCGGGGAGGTGTGTCCTCCTTCACTTCCCCTCACCATGCATTGTATTTGATCATATAACTGCCTCCTCCTCCACCTGTGAACTCCTTGAGGGTTGGGAATGTCTTTTATTCTTAGCACATAGTACATGAACTTGTGTTTGTGACATCAGTGACTGAACTGGCTGGAGTGATCAGGAGACCCTTCTTGAGGGTGGTATGACTTTCATGAAGTTCAGGGGTTTCAACGAACAAGCGTGGCATCACCTTCAGGGGCTAGGACCTGGCAAGGAAGTGACCCTATCATGCCACCTAAAGAGGTTATCTCTTGGCTCAAGTGAGACTTGCATGTGGCTCTCGGATGTTATGCTTTCCCACGGTTTCCAGAAAAATGAAAGAACCACAATAAAAGGAGATTGATTTATTCCTCTACTCAGTCCCTCTTCCCCCAAAAACAGAGCCCAACGACCAAAACCTGAGGGTTTGCAGTTCCCAGAAATTAAAAGTCAAAGTGTCCAAGTCAGAGGTTCCAGATCAGACATCAGTCAGAATTCAAAGTTCATGTACATCCTTAGATTTCGCTCCCAGGCCCTGTCCTTCTCCTCTTGCCTTCTGTTCTCCCTCCGGCATAGTGTAGCCCCCCGAGGGGCTCTCTCTTTCCCAGACACAGCCCGAGTATCCCTAGCTGGGAAGTGTGTGACTCGAGGCTGGGGTGCTGATCTGTAGCCTAACCCTTCTTGGTCCCTCTTGAGGACAGTGGGGATAGGGTTGGCACGGCCTTCACCCCGGGGTCCCAGTCCCTTTCCTGGCTCCCAGCCCCCCCTCAGCAGCAGCTGGAAGCCAGGGCTAGAGGTAGGCACCCCAAGAGGAAGATTGGGGGGCCTGGGACCCCTGGACAATGACAGCAGGTGAGCAGTAGATGTGTGGTGGTTGGAGTCTTCAAAGTAGGCACTACAAGTCTCACAGTACTGGGGAGAGGGCAAAGGGGACCTGCAGAGAAAGAAGAAAAAGGGTTAAGGTTAAGGGTTGGGGAAGAGTTAAGGCCTCAGAGGGGGCTGGCAGGGTTGGGCAGAACACCTTCCTTCCTACTTAGCATCACCTTTTTGTCTTGCCTGAGGTGCTAGGGATCTAACCCAGGGCCTCATGAATGCTAGGCAAGTGCTCTACCATTGAGTTACACGTCCTGCCCCTTCCCACTTAGCCATAGGGGACTCAAAAGGAAATAGTTAGAAGAGTAGGTAGCCAGGCCTTACAAGCTCTTATTGTAGCTAATATTTATAAAATACATACTGTGTGGCAAGCACTGTTCCACCACTTTGCATGTTAACCCACTGCATCCTAACAACCCATGAGAAAGATGCTCTTACTTCACTCATTCATTTTTTGGCAATACTGGTGTTTAAATTTAGGGCCTTGTGATTGCCAAGCATGCTCTACCACTTAAGCCAAACCCCCAGCCTCTTTTGCTTTAGTTATTTCTTGAATACAGTTTACGTTTTAGGACTGTGATCCTCCTTTTTAAGCTTCCCACAAGGCTGGGATGACAGACGCACATCACCACACCCATCTTTTATTGGTTGAGATGGGATCTTGATAAGTTTTTGCCTGGGCTGGTCTTGTAATGCAATCCTTCCAATCTCCACCTCATGAGTAGCTAGCCTGGAATACAGACATGAGCCACGGTGCCCAGAAGAAAGGGTGTCTTACTAACCCCGTTTCTCACATGAGATAACTGAGACACAGACATTAGGTTAAAAGTAAGTGCAATCAGGACTTAAATCCAGGGAGCTCATGTCCATAGCCACTCTACTATACTGCTAAATCAACAGTATAGGAGACCACTTCAGCTGTTCTAGGGCCTCAGATGTGGGGTGGCAGGAAGGGCAGTACACAAAAAGACGGGTATTGGATAAGGCTACCCCCTCACCGGTTCTCTGGGCTCCTTGTCTCTCCATGGCTCTCCCTAACCATGCGGGCCACTTCAGGGAAGCCTGCTTCTTCAGCCAGCTGAGCAGCATCCTTGCCACCTAGCTCACAGACCCCCACCCAGGCAGCCCCTCGGCCCAGGAGATAGTGCACAGCAGCCCTCTGGCCTGCTCTGGCAGCGCACATCAAAGGAGTCCACCAGAAGGCATCCCGGGCATTGATATTCCCTCCAGCTCCCCCTGCCTCTCGTGGCTCCAACAGCCTTCGAAGTTCTGCCAGGTCCCCCTCCTGAGCTGCTTTCAGTATCCACTGGGTCATCTTGTCCTCAGCCCCAAGGAATCTCCCTTGTCCTGGTCTTCCTGATACTTCTGCTGCCACGCCTTCTGGTGTAGCCTGCCTCAGCATTCTTCTTTTTTTCCTCTTTCTCTCTTGGACAGACTCAGGTGAAGATCTCTGGGGCTCAGAGGCACTGCTTTCATCTGCAATCAGGGCCTCATAGAAAGCCCGGGCTGCGGCCCCATCCAAAGTGGGCTCTGGCTCCTCAGACTGTAACTGCTGCTGCCCGTCCTTCCAGAGGTCACTGGGGTCAGTGGCTGGGGTGAACGCGATAAGAGATGGCTTGGACATGGCTTTGGGGAGAACTGAGAAAAGGAAAACTTAACTAGGCAAAGAAATAATGAGACAAACAGCCCAATCCCTCCAGAGACCTTCTGGGATGAGGAAAAGCAGCCTTAGAATAAAAAATGCTGCTCTACCCCCGAAGCTGATTCCACAACGTAGACCCCCTGCAGGGCCCAAGGCCCATGCGGCACATATAAAGCACAGACTCCTCTAGATTAGCAAATCCTGCCCCTTAGTAAGTTTAAAAAAAAAACCAAAAACCAAAAAACAAAAAAAACCTCCATGGGGGTTGGGTGTGTGTGTGTGACTCAGTGGTAAAACATTCATGAGGCCCTGGGTTCTATCCCCTGCACCGTAAAAAACAAGCAAAAAAAAAAAAAAACCTTCACGAGTTATTCAGAGGTCCACCTCCATCTCCCCTCCCCCAACAATAAATAGTGCCACTATCTCTTGAAACCACTTTCCCATCCTGGAACACATACCATTAAGAAACATCAGCCCGGCCTTTTAAATCTTCCTCGATCGTATTTCGAGGTATCTTCTTCCCAAACAAAAACAGACATGACATTATCCAGGAAAACTGCGGTATTACTTTGTGGCTTCCGTACGGCAAAATGGCGCTTTGCTAAAGGGTAGGACAATTAGTCACAAGGCACGAAGACGCATGCGTGGCAAGACAACAACAAAAACACCCACAAGGTTCAGTTTCCCGCCTGGGAGTCTTTACAAGTATACGCGCAAAGCATCTCGTCCCCAGGTAGCGCGAGGACCCATGGGCATCTGTCGGTTGGGGTCCTCCTTTTACATAACGCCCCACAATGCCTTTCGCCGCCCTCGATGTGGCCCCCGGCTCCAAGCTCAATTTCTGGAGCTGGGAAGCCACTCTCCGGGTTGAGAGTCCCTGGAACAGGTAGAGGGAAACCTGTGGAATGCCGAGAAGCTGTGAAATGAAGTAACGTCACGGTGCCTCTCACCATCACTCTGACCAGGGTTCAGAACGCTCCATTCAAGCACTAAGCAGAAATGGAGAAGTGCAAAGGGACGAACAGCAGAATGGCTGGCGCCACCTCAGGTTAGCGCACCGGGCTGTCCCAGTTCTCACGTCGCTCAGTTCAGTTCAGCTCAGCTCAGCTCAGCTCAGCTCAGCCCAGCCCAGCCCAGCCCAGCCCAG